TTCTAAAGGGAATCAGTGTTAGCAAAACACATTCCACAAGAAGCCAGGAATCACGCAAGTAAGGCCATCTTCATAGCCTGAGCCTAATCTTATCTACTGGAAAGATAACCAAGGGTTATAGTTTAGGTTTATAAGCCTTTATATAGCATTTCAAAATCCAGGAGGGTTTTGTTTTTATCGCTTAACTCCTCCATCTGCAGGTAGAAGCTATTGTTTTCGGCTAGTCTATATATTGCTTTGCAGATTAGGACATAGACTACTTGCGGGATGCCCTTTTCCTTCAGTTCAGTATCCATTTGGGCTATTTCTGGGGCATGATGCCCTGGAAGATCACCCTGTGACTGTATAACTCTGTCATATTCAGAACTTGTGGATAAAGGGCGCTGCTCTCCTTTGGGCTGAGTTTCTTTGGCCCGAGATGGAGCAGTGTGGGAGGATGTACTGATCTATGTGGATTTACGCAGTTGCAGAGTTTTTGCTGATCCCATACTATAGTTTAGAGCTAGACTTCTTCAGCAGAATATGTGGAAGAGGAGAACAAGCCAAAGATGCGCATAAGAGTCAGCAGTAGGGACCAGTAGGTAACATTTTTGCAATTATACATCCAGCTTCTGGGCTTCCAGAACAAACTACTCTGTCAGTAAGGATATTAAGTCTGCTTTATGGAGACTGATTCTAAAACCAAAATTATTTATACTCAAGGGAGTAAAGCTCTGGAAGGCTTTGCTAAAAATCAAAGCAGATTGTCAAAAAGTTCAGGAGCTATGTAAGAACACTCCATATAACAACTTACACTCCATACATGCATTTTGTCAGGTATATGCATAAGTGATAAGAGAACACTATTTAAAATAGCTGGAAGAGGGATTGAGAATGGTTGCGAATTTGTCTTGTGAAAGACATACCTAGCAGCGTTCTTGTTTAGGTATCCTTCCTCTGGATAGGAGGACCTTCTTAAAGCTTAGCAACACTTTTAAAAGCATGTATACAAACTGGTAATATCATAGCAGCAAGCCCCTCAAGGAAAATCTTTTTATTTCTGTATTAAAACACAGATTCACCTGCTTAATTCCAAAGTTGTATTGAGGAGGCATTAGGCCTCTGCAATTCAAGACTCTTCACGGTGATGGACCAGATGTCCCTTTACTATGTGGGGCTTTTTTTATTTTTCCATTTCATGGAAGCACTGAGATGAGCATTACAGAAGTAGGTAGTGTAGATAAAGAATATTTCTAGTGCTCATCTTTGTGCTTTTCATGGATGCAAATTCCATCTGTCCCAAAAAACACAGAACTTTTTTACTTTGGATATGTGCGAGTCAGTATAAATAAAACCAAACTTGTACCTCTTCATCTCAATACGTAGTTTGTTCCTGTATTTTATATGTGATTTTGTAGTTATTTTGCATGCACACATACAGTAATTGTGTAGAGGATGCTAAAGTGTCATTTGCTAAAAGAATTTATTTGTTAAGGGACAGATTTTCTAGAATTATTTAAGTACCAAGAAATAGTGACCGTTACCTAGTGGGATACTCCATAATCTCTAAACAAGAAATTGAAATCTGTGAGAATGAGGAGTGAGACCTTAAGAAGCTTTGTTGAACATTCCTAAAGGTGTCTGTCTGCCCTTGCACATTTGGACCTTCAGCACTGCATCAGAGTTGCCCACCATATGATTATTCTTTCTGACCTAAAATACGAGCCCATATACTTCCTGAATTACTTGTTTGGTTGCTTCATGAGATGCAAATTCAGTGAGTGTCCGCACTTACGTCTCAAGTGTCATATTGCACATTTAATTTACACTGTGAGGACTGCTTCCTTCACAAGCAAAAAGACAAATGTCATTGTTACATCTGTGTCTTAGGATACAGTCAAACATACTCAATACTGCTTTCAGTTAAGTATGGTGATGTTATACTGGCAGATATATCGTGATTGCTCAATGTAATATAAGTTGCTTTCTTCAGGTCAGTGTCTTCCGTATTTTGAATAAAACTCTACAAACACTGAGACTTTTAGGGAAGTTCCCAGCACCTCCCATTCACCTGTTTAGATATTTAAGTTACCTTTGATATTGAGGTATAAGACTATTCCTTCAGTTTAGCTCAGATTAAAATGCTCAGCCTCCAAAAGGAGCTGTTTGCAGCATCCCACCTTATTGACAAGAGGCGATTCTGCCACCCTCATCCCTTGCAGGTAGTACCTCATTGACACAAACAGCCTTGTTAGCTGCCTTTTATTACTCACAAAGAAAAATGTTTCTAAGTGTGAGTCGGGATGGCAGAGTTGGGCCCTTGATGAACAAAGAGTCCAGGATTATCATTCCGAAAAGCCCCCTGAGGCCTGTATCAAGAGTTATTAACCACTGATTCAGCCCATGGCATTATTTTGTAGGCTTAAGTGGGATTTCTGTAGTATATTGGGTCTTGTGTCTGTGTAGGGGTGAATTTTGCCCTCTGTTATTTTATCTTATAAATAGCTGTTACAGTTTCTCTTTTACGTTATTGTTTAAATCTCTTTCAAAGGTATGGTTTCTTAATCCCCTGCTGCTTTTTTTTTTTCTTTCTTCTAATAAAGAATAAATAAATTTGCAAATCCACACATGACTGAAACAAAAGGCAAATAAGCCCTACACGGTTTGTATTTGGTGCAGGATACCTCATTTTGATGTTTTCAGTCATCATTCATTTGAAAAGCAGAAGCTATGATTGTTAAGCCTCATTATTTTCAATGAAGCCTGACAGTTTCAAGGTTAAACAGAAGACAGCTACTTTCATCCCAGTGGTATTTCTCTTCAAACATGGGCAGCTCTTTGCTAACTTGTTCTGCTCTGGTGTGCAGTGTCATTGCTTGGTCACAGAGTGGTGCACATCTAAGCCCAATTGCAGGACAGTGTGTAAGCAGTGACCTCCGACCTATGTCTCCCCAAAAGAAACCTCAATTATTGAAGTAATTTTTCCCCCACTTGTATAGGCCATGGAGTATTTCTTTTTAACTGAACAGTGATTTAAATAAGCCATGATCTCAGATTTTACTATTCTTCTGACTCCCAGAAAACAATTTGCAGCCCAAACCTTCTGTCTATCCAGACAGTTTTCAATGTTTCTCCTGTGCTTTATGTCTCTGAAGCACATTAGAGAGGGTGCTAGCTTGAGAGAGAGAGACCTCCAGTGATAGTTGCAGAGGCTGAGAAAGCTGCAGTGCTTCTGAACACATATGCTGTTAAGTAAGGACTGATCTGCCGTTGCTTTCTGAAATTCCACATGTACTAACATCTGATTTAACAGGGAAACTTCTCAGTAAAAGAGGCTGAGGAAACTATGACCTATGAGTAGCACAGTTAAAACCCTTAGAAGCCAGAAAACATTGATTTATCTACTGTGAGAAAACTTTCAGGAGCAAATAATTTGTGAAAGCCCTGACTTTATACTTGCATGGACTGTCTGCACTGAGTTATGACTGGGTGCTGCCTTCAGAAAGACAAGGCAGTGCAGTGGTTGTATGTTACAAAAACAGGAAAAATGCACTAGTTGGTTAAAAAATAGAAGCAATACTTGGAAAACTGAAGAGAGAGGAGTAGCTAAGCAGTTTTTCACCTGTGCTTTCACTCCTTTAGAGTGAATTACATTCCACATACGTTTGCTGGTGTCTGATAATTACATTAGGGTGGTGAATTCTTAATCTCATTTCAGGAATTAAGTCACCTGGTGAGTACAATGAAAGGTGTAGCTTCATGGTGCTTGGTGGTTCCTGGAAAACAAGAGTGTTTCAATACGTACTGGGCGCGTTAGTCATGACTTGTGGCAATAAATCCAAGATGTGTTAACTAGCTTTCCTGCACTGAAGTTACTAATACATCCATGAGATAAATGAATTTTGCAGTTTTGATAAAGCTGTTATTTTTATTTCTTATCTGTATTCCTCATGTTGTGTAATATATTAAAACAAACAAACAAACTGTCTTTTCAGATAAGAAAAAATGGTCACCTTTGCAACCGTGAATACAGCTATTTGAACCTGCAACTCTTTATACCCATTATGGAAGTTGTGTGTATAATATGTTGGGTATGGGTCTAAGAGTGTTCTACTACACACATTGTCTGCTTTTATATAGTTAGTTTATTTGTGGGAGAGCTTTTATTGAAGGATTTCATAGAATACAGATAAATTGAAGAAATAGCTTGAATGCATGATTACTGGAGTGCTGAAGATAAACGTGTGCAAATGGAAAACTCTGAACAAATTTAGCCTTTTGCATTTGCCTACATACTTTAACAAAAGGAAAGACCAAATTAAGCCAGTAAGATGCTATAACATGATTATAGCCTGTGCCTTAAAGCTAAGAAAGGATTATGTGATCCTCTGTTCTACTTATTTAGACTGTCAATTTTTCTGTAGTTGTGTTGACATAATAATCATACAGACCACCTTTAAAATATCATCATCCACATCCTCAGAAACTTGGTTTGTTGAGTATTTTGAAAAAGTTTTTGACATAAAACACATGATGGTTTAGGCATAAATTTATAAACTGGACAATAAAAGTATCCGTTGGAGAATGGGCAGGGTATTTTTTAAGGGGAAACAACAGCTAAGTGTTACATTTGACAAGAGCCATGGACCACTCATATCTTAAAACATGCAAGAATTGAATGTCCTGCTTACACCAAAGTGTATATGTGCCACAGGATTGCTGCACAGGGTTTTGTGTTAATGCCTTACAGGGACCTCAGATCCTACATATACTACAAAAGAAAAGTGAGTTGATATATATCACTGACTGCAGATGGGTTGGGTTGTAGGTTAAAAAGTTTTCCGTAAGTTGTCTGCATTTTCCCTTAATGTCTGTCTTTTACAGTAGTGCTTTGTTCCTGAGCATGACCACCACCAGGACAGCTTGGTTCAGTGCAAACACTGTCTCTTTCAGCCAGAACATTCCTAACGTTAGCTTCCTTGTTTTTTTCTCTCCTCTCCCTCTCCCCTGCCCCCTCTCAGGTTGGAAAGGCTGGTGGACGTCCTGAGGAAGAAGGTTGGAGCAGGGACCATTAGGACCGTGATCTGATTGAAAGCTCTAGTCTAAGGAAGCATTCACATCTGGTGACCAGGCTGCTTCATTCAGCACTGTGTAAACACTAAAGCCTTAACTTAGCAAACAGTTGTTAGAAGTGGGACACTCCAGCGACATTCCAAGCTGAGATAAAATCAAATCATAAATGTTTAACTACTTTGCTGCTGAGTTCTGTGATTTGTTGAAATGTTTCACTGCAAACATGTATTTGTTTTTAAGCAGATGCATTGTGGCACTGTGTACTGTGAAAAATTATGTAGATGCTTATTTTAACAGTCTGTCCTCTCAGTGTTACTAGACTATAGTCTGCTGCAAGACACAGCTTGATCATGTTTTCAAATACTGCAGTCTTCAGGTGCAAAATCCTGCAAAGCAGTTTCAAAATTTAAATCCCTTATGTTATTTGTGAGACTGCAAACAGTCCAGTATTTGTATGTTAAATATATTAATTGATAAAGTAGGTTCACATTCAAGAAATATCTCTAGCTAGTATATTGGAGATTTTTTTCCTCCTTGCTCATAGCCCGTTGAATTGCAGCTAGTGACTGTGGCTACATCTAAGGAAAGGATGCATGTATAGGTTGAATAGCTACTGCTAGTACATGGCATTTTGAGCGTATGTTAAAAACAAATATACAGTTAGGTTTCACTGGAGGTACAGCTTCATAATTTGCAACATGAAAGCCTTGTGACATTGTACAGTATCTCAGACAGTGGGGAAGGTTTCTTGTATTGTTTTTAGTCACTTCTCTGTCCTTTCCTATGAGGGAAAATCTCTCAAATATTCAGAAACCACCTTATGGAGTCAAAATACTCCTTTTCAGTATAAGGGAGGTCCCTCACCCATTTCCTACAAGACTTTTTGTCTGCTTCTTCTAGACTTCTGATTGCTCTGCAGTGCAGGAGTACCATCCAGGTTGGGTTTGAGACCAGATTGCCAACCCTCTGCTTTGTGTACTCCTGAAGTGCCCTAGGACTAACTCAAAGGCTGATTCCACAGAGAGGGGAGAAATTGAGGGGTGAGGAGAAAAATTTGAGGTACACAGACATTATAGACCTTACAGATACAGGAGAGTTGGACCTAGAGTTTTATTTGTGACCCAAACATCTCCCTGTATTTAGTATGTCTTTGTCATATGACCAAAGGTGAGCAGAAAAGTCAGATCAGTGTTCGTATAAACCTACTGAAGAAGGCAGCTCTAATCTCCTAACAGCCCAAATTCAGGAATGAATCTCAGGAGCATGGTGGGCTTTAAGCTACTCCTAGGACCAGCCAGCTCAGGTAGGGTGGATGTAGCTCCTAAGGCTTCCGCTTGGCTACTCTGCTTTGTGTTTAACGTTGTTATGCTGTCTTCCATCTTAATGTTTGCTTGTAGAGGTATCATGATAGGACAGTCTTACTGAAGAAAACGAAATTTTAATTTTGGATAGAAGGAGACATTTCAATGCCTGTTCTTCCTTTCAAGCACTTCCATGTTAAACTTTAATCATCTGCAGACCTAAGCTCCTCCTAGTTTCAGTCAACCAAACCTAACCCCTTGCAGGGAGATGAGTAGCATTCCTCCAAGCCAAATTTACCCAACTCACTTCTAGAAATTTCTGAAGTGCTCCTTTTTGACCTTTGGTCAATCCTAAGATAGCCAGTGAGTCTGGAGTCTCTCCCCAACACCTATTCAGTAGGAAGAAAGTTTAATGCTTCCAGACCAGAGGACTGCCACCCTCCAGCTCCCAGCCCCCTCACCATCTCCTGTGTGCTGCTGTCCAGAGCTTGGGTGACTCAACTGCTCTTTTTCCTGATGGTCTCATTGAGCTTCAGGGTGCCAGGTGAAAGACGAGATCCCCTGAGCTGTCAGTGCTGTTGAACTATTTCTGCTCTAAAGATTAAAGATAAAAATGTAAGGACTACTGTACTGTGCTAGACCAAAGTCCAGCTAGCCCAAAGGCTGCCTTTGGCAATAACTGGTAGAAGATGCCTAGGAAAGGGTATAAAGTCAGGCCAGCACTCTTGACATTTCTCCCAAATAGTCTCTCAGCAATTTGTTGTTTAGGGGCTTTTTGAGCCAGAGGTGGTATCTTTGTACTTAGCAGCATTTTTTCATGGCCTGGTTTTGAATCCATTTAAACTTTTAATATCTACTCATTCCTCTCATGAGGACTTATGCAGTTAACGATGCTTGAGTGAAGAAACAGTTCCTTCTCTTTGTTATGAACAAGCTCTATTAATTTGCTACCACCTAGTTTTTGTATTCGAGAAACAGTGAACAACCATTCCATGTTCATATTGTTTCCATGTCCCTTGTGATTTTACATATTTGGCATCCTTCCCCCACCATCTCTTTTCCAGAGGGAGCCCCTAGTCTCTTGTAAAGAATCTGTCTCATGTTTTTAATTGGCCTTGTCATACTAATCTATTTCTTTTCAAGATCTGCATTGTTTTTACTGAGATACAACCAGATTTGTGCCTGATATTCAAGATACAGATAAATTGTGACTTTAACAGTTGTCATAATTATGTTGTCAGTTTTATTCTCTATGCTATTTGTAATCATTTTTAACATTGGATTTGCTTTCTTGGAATTAATATTTCTGTAATAATAATAATAATAATAACAACTCTAGTTCTCATTGCTCAGTTGTGATATTCAGCTCAGAGTTCATCATAGGGTGTATGAGGACAGAACTGTTTTCTGAATGCATAACTTCACATTTATGGGTATTGAATGTCATCTGTTGTTTTAGTATGCATTTCCTGGTGACCGTGAGCTCCTATTCCATCTCTTCTCACAGCTCATCTTTACTACTCACAGTCACATGGTATCATCAGCATCTCCGTGCTGAATATGGTAATATGAAAGATGACCGTCTCCAAATTAACCCCGTTTTCAAGGTGATTTCTTAGTTAAAGCAAACAACATGGACTGTGGAACAAAGATCCCTATAGGACAATAAGGTAACTTGCCTTCACTATGACAATGTTACATTTATTCTTACCCATTGTTTGACTCTAACTTTGAACTACTTATTTTTCAATTTAAAGATCTTCCCTCTTACTCCTTGGCAGCTTTGATGAGGAAGCTTGTTTGCTAGTTTAGAAATGCAAGTTTACTAAATCAGGGTTTGTTTTCCATGCATGAATGTGCTAAGTTCCTCCTTCCCCTAGGAGTATCAAGAGCTTCTCACCTTCCCCCAAGTCTTTCTGCCTCTGAGCAAATAATCTTGTGAGTTCAGGCTTCATACAGCAAGACTGTTTGACCTCCAGCCTCTTGTGTCCACCGGTTTTGTTTGGGAAAGTAGGATCAGTCAGGCAAAAGCCATCTAGCAGGCTTGATGTCAGATACATCTGGTTGTGGGTAATACTTTATTCAGTAAAATTAAGTGGTAATTTTGCTTCATAATTTTCCTTTTTACACATTGTACCTAAGATGAAAAAATATTTCCTGAGTCTGTCTTATGTCTTCAGTAGCCTGAAATTCAGTGAAATTTTTAGTTAGGGGGTTTTATCATCGTGTAGACAAATTACTTTGAATCATAATTAAATTAAGTGTTGATTTTTAAAATTCAGCTAGAAATGTTTGTCTTCTTTGAAAACGAGCTTGGGAAGTTTACTGTGCTGAGAGGTGAAGATTCAGAAATGGTTGGGTTCTCACTCTTCCTTGCTAACAACCTGGTGTGTGGTCTTTGACAAATCCCTTAGTGACAGTCATAAAAGGTATGCAGCCCCTGAAGAGGTGCCTGGGCTCCTTGGGGGTTTGCAAAAGCATCTGTGTGGCTAACGTCAAAACACTTTCTCTTCTTCACCAGCTGAAGTGAACAGCAAAAGTCACACAGGTCCCATAATGCAGGCCCAGCCTATAGTGCCCTCGGGTGAATTTCTGGGCCCATTGAACCCAGTCTGAGTTTTGCCTTTCAGTGTAAGGAGGGCAGGAATTCTGGTCTGGCAAGTAGAAATAGGCGATAATGATAACGTGGGTTAATTGGCTTTTATTGTATAGTTTATTCATTAAGAACTGATTGATGTCTGTGCAGAGCTCTGAAAGTGAAAAGAAGCCTGCCCCTATACAGCAGACATGCAATTGTCACTTCTGTCCTGATTTATGAGAGAAGGATGAGATTGCATCAGATTATGTACCAGGAGTAGCAATTCATTTGCCTCCCGATGGAACAGCAGTTCATGATGAAAGGTGGTTCACCATAGGCAATGCTTATGGTGACGGTTGTAATTACTGGTCAAACTAGAGTCCCTGCTGTCTTGAAGAGCACTGAGATACTTAGAAACGTCCTTTCCCTGTGAGATTTTGTGTGTTTCTCTTGATAGTCCTGCAGCACGTTATGCATTGAGAGCCATTTCTGGTATGTGCCATGGTAAAATATGTAAATAGCATCATGTTGGCTCGGGATAAGAGTGTTATTAATGCTTTTCAGTACTGTAATTATATTCATAGTAAGCCTTCCCTAAGCCTTCACTAATTAACAATATTGTGACAAATCAAGTTTAACAGAAAAGAACTGTGGACCTTTAGTCATTTAGTACTGTTTTTCATTCAGCCCACAGCCCAAAACTGGTGGCATGGTTTTCTGTACTAGTGTTGGGAAAACTGCTGATATTTGAAAAGTTCAGAGCCAGTTCAGTCTTGTTAGTGGAATCCTGTAGATGAAGTCAGTTTGATTCCTCTTTAAATATATTCACAAGAAAGTAAGATCCATTAGTTAATCATTAATGTAGGGGAATATTAAAACTGCTTTTATAAATAAGCCATCATATTGAAATAGTTTAGTAATGTCAGTATGTTGTCATAGGCACATTTATTTATTTATTTATTCCAGATCACAGGACATTTTACAAGATACCTTAATTGTCAAATTAAATGGCTTTATAAATATTCTTATCAGGTGATGAAGAGTTGTTTCATGTTTAATCCACATACACAAATGAACTTGCTACCTAAATGTCAGGATTTCTCTGTGCCTTTATTTTCTTCATTTAGAATAATTTCAGATGAAGGATGTTAGGTCTGTTGGGTTTTTTCTTTTTAATTTGTATCCCAGAAAATTTTCCTCCCGTGCAAGAATAAACTATGAGGCACATGAAATCACTGACAGGCGGTTTCTCTGATGCTGTGCTTGCTATGACCGCAGCGTTACACGTACTGACTCTTACCGCTGTAACATTTCACATCAGGTCCGCAGAACTGGACTTTCTCTGTTTGTTCTTCTCATGCATTGGTAAATAAAATGTATTCACAAGTCCAAAAAACCAAAGTGGTGTTCTCATATTAGGTTGATTATAAGTCAGCTGTTGAGCTTCAGTGGTCTAAACATTTCATTCTTCAGTTTTGTTGGGAGCACATGTGTTCTGGGAGGCTTTTAAACAAATACTTGAAATGGTTGAAAGATTTACATTGCCAGTGCCTAGCTAAATATGTAGTCTTTAGAAAAGACATGGTTTATTTTGGCACCATTTGAAAAACTCAAATATTTTAAACATTTGTTAAGTTCGAGCTTGCACATTTGAACTAGAAGTTTGCATTCCAAAATTGCATCTCGGGTTACCTGTCTCTCTCTCTTTTGTATTTTATAATCCCTTTATTAAAATAGTCTGCAAAAAGAGTTGGGTTTGGAGTGTGGTTTTTTATTGTTAATTGTAAAATATTGTCATTAAGTTAATCAATTTTAAGGTAACATTTACCTGGTAACTATTCAAATAAAACATCAGAAATGCAAAGCCAGAAGTGTTTTCAGAATTTAGGCCTTCATGTTGGTTAGCCAAGACTTGGTTGTAAAATTAGTCAAATACAGGAATAGTAGCCAAATCCTGCGGTGCTTTACTGTTAGACATACTATGTACTGTGATGAGTAAGTACTAAACCTGATGACGAGTGCAGGGCCAGGCAATAAAGAAAACAGGTTGAAAATGTGTATTGAACTGATAAAATAGAATAGTTTAAGGAAAGAGAAAAGCTGTCTCTGACCTGAAGTTGGTTTTCTTTTCCTCCCCTTGGCAGAAGGGAGGGGCAGAGGCAACATTTAGTCTAATTAAAACAAAACAAAACAAAAAAACAAAAAAACAAAAAAACAAAAAAAACACAAAAAAACACTTATTTTCCCCACAGTTTTAACCTGAAACTTGTACTGAAGCTTAAAGAGTTGATAATGTATAAATTGAAACCACCATATTTTATTTAAAACCTGCAGGAACCCTGGAGCGCACCGTTACAATTGTGCACGTGCTTTGGTGTGTTGCCCAGTCGCCAGCTGCAGAGGGTCACACTCCTTTCTGAGAAGCTGTCATCAGGAGGAGTTTGGCATGTTCCCTCCACAGTTACCTTGGTCCAAAAGTCCATGCAGTGTCACATTCACCGAAGTTCATCATTATTTGAATGGCTTTTGAACTTGATAGAAGCAGATCCGTTGTCATATTGTAAAATAACAATATACCTGATAGAATTGGCCACAACTGCTTCCCAGTGGCTGTGCTAAAGCAAGGTTATGATAGCCCTTGCAGAATATGCAATGAATTTGCAATGATTAATGCCCACACATGAATATGCACACTGTATTTCACATAAAATTGAAAAAGATAATGGTTTCCCAAAGAATTTAAATGATGGTAACTATGGGATATTTGTTCATGAAATAGGTATTGGCAGAACTAATTCCAGCACCAAAATTATAAAGAAAAAAAAAAAAAAAAAAGATACAAAATTGAAAAACTGCTTTGGTACTACTCTAACTCATTGTCTGAAGCCTCAGGACTTCATTCATTAGTATTTGCCTTTCACTGATGTAGTGCCACTATGTCACAAAATTTTTTTGTGACCAAAGAGGTAAACTGTTTTCAAAAATCAGTCAATGAGAAAGGAGGCTACTGGTGTCTAAGCTAATACAGATATAAATTTAGAAGTTGAAATCTTGCTTAGAAGCAAATATCTGTAAGTAAGAATCGGATTTTCAAAAAATTAATTTATTTCTTCACTTGGATATTTAACTCATTCAGAGAACAAACTCAACTCAGATGAAGCCTCTGTGAAAGTACTAGGCTATAAATAGAATAGCAAACAGCAGAAAGTCTCCATCAAAACATGCTCATAGCACTATTATCACACCATTTGGTGGTTTAACAGGCTATATAAAATTATCATCTTTGTTTCTTCCACTTTATAAAGGGAATATTTTCTCTCTCACCTCTAACATTCTACCAGTGCATGGAGAACATCAATATTAACAGATGATGGTTACTAAACAGTAGCAGTAGGGTTAAGCAAGAGATGGAGACACACAAATAGATAAAGATTAGGACTGTAATCAGTTATGGCATTTTTTATATCAGTTATATCAGTTTTTAAATGGCAGTGCAGAAAATGAAATGCTTCAATCTATCACTGTGGTATGGCTGACCAGCTCAACCGCTCAACCATATTCTCACTGCTGGGGACATTACCCTCACCCTCACAGTCCAAAAATGTAGGGTGGTATAGGATGTATCCATGATATAGGGTATAGATATGGAGCCAAGGGGATCCAAAGCACCATATCGAACATTTTGGGCCTAGGGTTATGAGCTCAAATCATCAAACTAAGAAAGGTGTAGATAAATCATAGCTTTGACTGGGACTCTTCCTCCCCTTAGACGAGGTAGGCACAAATCAGGACACCTCGACTGCCGTGTTGTTGCTAAAGCAGCATAGCAGAGAAAGTGCAAGATAGAAATTAAACTTTTAACGGAACAGCAAAAAGGAATTGGGTGAAATCTAAAAACACATTTGCGTGGAAGCTTTGCCTGCTTCAGTTGTAGAAAAGGAGGAAAAGTTGTTACAGTGAGTGACAGAAATACTTTGCTTTGCTTATACATAGAAGTCTTGAAATCTTCACAGAAGTCAAAGCAAGATACATCTGTTGTAATATTTGAAAGCAAGTATCTCACTAAGGTTAAAGTTGGTGTGTGAGCTTAAGGCTAGGAAATTTTTTGAAATTTGGTTGTGTTCAGTTTTTTCATTAAATTCTTGTTTGATAGGGCAAGCTACCTTGGTTCTAAATTTCAATAAAACAACATTTCTGTTTAACATTTAGCAGGTTTAGTCACTGTATAATCAGTATGAAAATTGGCATTGTCCCTTCTACTTCTCACAGGTTGAGCAATAGAAATGGCAATTCTCCTATCGCTAAGGCTTTCTTGGTATAACTATGACACAAAAAGTTATGATATCAAACTAGTAAATATTGAATTATATTTAGTAAGATCTGATCCCTTCTACAATTTTCATCAATAAATCTCAGCACACATTTAAAAGGAAAATTAATAATAATAGTACTTTACCCCTAAATTGGTAAAAGAAATGCCTATATGAACATTTGACTGCATGTTGCATTTCTTCACTCTAGGCCTGATTAGAATTGACTGAAGGAGACTGAGGATTTTCCAGGCAGATCTTACCGCCGCTCCCAGATGTCAGAGCACTATTCTGGCTCAGGTGTACTCGTGAAATGCCACTTCTAGCCATCCACAGCTCTTTATCCCATTTCTAATGGCTCCCACTCTCTGGCTTAGGAAGTCATGGCTTATTCTGTCCAAGTGAGTAGAAAATGAGCGGGGCTTGGTTAACCCTACTGATGTGTTTAGCTGGCTTAGGCAGTGCTGAGCTGGCTGGTCGGGTGTGTGGCAGCTCTGTGTAGGAAGGCAATGGCAAACAACTTGAGGGACTGCAGCCTTTTCAGTGGGCCAGACTGGTGACCACGGGGAACATCTGGAAGATTTGGTCCTTGATAATTTACAGCTCCCAGGGATTCATTCTGGGCTGTCTCCATTATTACTCCAGGATAATGAGTTACCACTGTATGAATAATAGTAAGGGCCATGTCTATAGCAAATTTGTAATTTGGTGGCTTAAATTTTAATGTGCCTTTATTTGCTCAGTAGTTGCTTTAAGTCAAGCTATAAAACCATATCAGCAACAAATTTTATATGTACAGAAGGAATTTTGTAGTCTTTAAGAAAAATAATATCCCTGCTGAACTGCTTTATAGACTAATGTTTGGCTGCTGGACCGTGTTAAAAATCTCTGGAACTGGTTACAGCTTCCCAGGAGCGTCAACAAAATTGAATTGTACCATCCTAATGTATTTTATTTTTCCCTCTTGCCAATTGCAGTGATGTTCAGCTGTGTGGAAGGGAGAGGGGCTCCCTTGGAGAAGGAAATGAGAACCCGTGGAATTTCAGGCCATCCAAAGATACAGGGACAAGACAGTAAAAGTGAGTGGATTTTTAGGGGATCTGTCATAGGGAATGGGGCTCAGAAAGGTTAATGTGGTCTTGGGGACTGACTATTCCCCCAAGGGATATTTTCCTGTGGGAGCAGCTGCGTTTTGTGCAGTAACCGAGGTTCAGCAGCAGCACAATGTAGGCAGTCATGCCTTCTGCTGACTGGATGACCCATGTTCCCCCTTCCCTGGAGGTGCAGGATTTCTCGTCTGGTGCACACACGTGCACTGCCAAGGTAGAGATGCTCACTTGGCCTTTCAAACCACTTGGGCCCAGACCTCTCCTACACTGAGGTAAGTTCTTCCTTAATTCAGCAGGTCCCCATAAAAGCCAGCCAAATAAATATCGATCAGACCAGCTGTGGCCAAGAAGGGTGGTACTGTGCGTGCTGGTGAGTCAAGTGGGGAAGGAGAGGTCAAGACAGAAAGGGAGGGTGGAAGGGTGGAGGGTGACCGTGCTTTGCAGATCCTTGTAGGGTCTTGAGATACCATCTGCCCATGTGGTCCCAGCAGACAGGGAACCACTGACCTCTGTGTCTAATACAGGACGGGAAGCAAGTATTTAATACTATTCCCACCCTTGACAACAACTAATGCCTGCCCATGCATGAATTCACCTCTGTTTTATCCAGACAATCCAATCTCAGCTAAGCCATTTACAGAATCTGTTTGTTGGACTATATTCGGTGTCTCTGCACCTCCTTGCTAGCGTGAGGAACACATCACAGGTGCCTGAACCAGGGCTGTGCTCAGGGCATGGCTACATCTCTGCTGGAAGAGCTGAGACTAAGCCTAGATTACCAGGTCAGGCAGTGCAGAAGAAGCAGTTCTCTAGAGCATGGAGCCCCCCACGGCCAACTGCTGTGCATTTAGGTCTAGCTCCACAGTAGTCCCTGGACTGGGCTGCCTGGTAGCGGGCAGTAGAAGCACATCTCTCATTTTCTTGTCATTTATGCGGGATTCTGAGTGCATTGAGACTGCTCTGGGACACAAACCGAAGCACAGAAAGTGGAGCCAGCTGGGAGAGTGGCTTTTAAAATGCTCCCCTAACACAAACAAAACACAAATATAGATGCATCATGAGTGAAATCTGTGTCAGGAATTCCCTCTTTGGAGACATCTGTCTGCCTGGCCTTTTCCACAGAGCAGGGCTCACTGCTGGGCTCTGCTTCCCCCACTCTGACCCAAAGGCATTGCATATGGGACTAACTGCACCCATTTCTAGTACTTTAGGATTAGAATTTGCTCACCTCCTGACAGCCTGAAGTGCAGGAGAAGCAAGGACAAAGATGTGCAAACTCACCCTGTGCTCTGTGTTAAACAAAGGCTTGACTAAGGCTTGTGCTACCGGT